ATGATTACGCTGAAAATAACAACCTGTAGTAATAGGCCTATACAAAAAGGCCAGTTCTGGAGGTTAGGAAATCCGGACAAAATATTAAATATAGGACTAGTCTAAAAGAATGATGCTAATCTAATCACTCATAGTGATTGACGAGGGAAACTAGGCCTAAGGCCTAACTTAAAAAAAACACATTCTCCAGCCTACATAAAGGTCTAGAGTTTTCCATCGGCATAATTAGACTGCTATTAACCTACCATCAAAGAATCCATTAGTTTTTCCTAAGGCAAAATGGGCCTTAAAAGTAATAAAGACTTTTACACTAAACGAACTACACCCAGTGGCAGCCAAAGACCGAAGTGCCGAGCCTCAAGACTGTCGTCTGCTAAGATTTAAACGTTCCGCCAATCAGAGGGATTGGAACGCTAGCTCGCGTAAACTAACCAATCAGATTCATTAGAACGAAAGCGCGAGTAACTCGGCCAATGACAGCGTCTGGAACATAAGCGCGTGAAAAATGTCAAACGCAGGAGTTGATGAAAGAAGCTCTGAAGAAACAGCCGATGAATATTTGAAAAATACGAGTAAAATATTAATAGGCAAGCTATCCTGCTGATGTGTCCCCCTCGCCCATGAGGTGGGGCACAATAATACGCATTATTGAAAACTGACAAGCTGAATTAGGAACGGGGTAAAGTAGTTTTCACACGTTAATTTTATGACATTGAACGCACGCGGTTTGCCTCCATTTGACACTTCCGAAAGGCTGGCAATGAATGAACAGCCGATAAACTTTAAATAATTGAAGCTGGATACTGTCATCACTATGACTTTTTGGTAGCATTATATATATATATAATAATGATTTTAATAGTAAAATAATAATTATATATGCTCGTAAACTTATAACAGTGTTGATGCATCTATAACTGAATTGACTATATAGGCTAGGCCTATTTAAATATCTTACGTTACAAAGAAAACAATACTGATTATCCACCTGAGTGGCACATATTACAGGCGATTTAAGCATAATAAGTTAGTAATACTAACATAGACTGAATCAGCACTATGAGCTTTGCCTGCGCGTAACAGATGAAATCGGATCTCATAGTGATTTTTATTATGATTTTTTGTTTTTAGAAGTAGGAAAACCCCCAAAATAGAACTATTATTAGAAAATGAAAACTCTTTCTGAATGAGTTGGTGGTCCTGAAAAGGACCGTTTGGGTGGTTTGCCTTACAGCCGAGGGTATAGACTGTAAGGCGGTGAGGGTGGTGGTAGGGGAAGTGCCCCATCGGCTTGCAGCCGATAGAGGTCCAACAGTTCCTCTCTATGAGCATCTAGCTCCATGGCCTCCAGTCGATGAAGCTCACGGCGGGTCTGCCGCAACAGTTTTTGGAGGTACCCTCGCTCCTCCAAAAACCGTTGCCGCTCGGCCTCCCATGCCGATCTCTCTGCACATTGCTCAGAGAGGAGATGTATAGTATGTTTACCGTATTATCATTACTGCTTTAGAGTTGTAAGAGCTGGGCCTATCAGATAATAACTGCAGCTGTTTCACTTATCGACATCGTTGAAAAACAATCGACATTTTGGTCTTGTCAACATACACACCGAGTCTTAATTTCAAACCCTTCGGAAAATAAATACAGCCACATGATTAAGGGCCATAACTCTGAAAGCAATTATCAGAAAACAACAGGGTTGTGGTCACTAGGAATGCTGGTCATCGGACGCCCGGGTGGTGTATCAAAATTATAAAGGAGATTGACCATAAGTTCAATTATTGGTGGTGATCAGATTAACAGGGATTATTAACCCCTTTTAACGCTAGTAATTTTATTAATTGTTACTTGGATTGTAAAGCTTTTATGATCGACAAGATATCCACTGGCAGGGTTAATGAGTTTCTCCCAGCCAATAATATCAGTATCACAGCCTAGCGGCCGACTAGGTCTTACTGTTCCATAACATTGTTTAACCACAGATTGTCTATCGTCCGTTTTATTTATAAGTTTATATGTGACGTCAACATCACATGATGTAATACTTTTATCTTCTACGTCTTTCAGGTATAATCTAACAAGCAATAATGTTGAGAAGATTCTAACTACACTGGCACACCATGTAAAACCTGAAACTACATGTAGTTTACCAAGCACTTTATCTGATACAGTATCCACAATATAAATATCTTCAAACATATTCTGATGACAACTTATAATTTTACCAAGTTAGTTAGTTAACAAAGTTTGATCTATCTCGGCTGCTTGAAATGTTGAATATTTTACATCAGGTATATGCAATTTTCTACAACTTTCATCTTTCTCCTGTCGAACTTTAGGTAATCTTTGTAAAACTTTAACAATGGACGGATCTTCTAAAACATCAGCTGAATGTTTAACACTAGCTTTTAAATCTTCGGTTACTGTTTTAATACCCTCCATCAATTTTCTGAGTTTTCCATCAACATCATAGTAGACATCTTCGCCACTGGATGTTTTCATTTGTTGTTTCATATGCTCTCCAAGTTTTCTCAACTCTTCACAAATTCGATAGACCTGTTCATCAATCTTGTCGCATTCTGTCTTCACCGAATGATTCACTTCACTGAACTTCAGGTTTAAACTTTCACTGAAGTTTTCAAGTTCATCAATGTGCGGTTTTATTTCAGCAGTTAATGTTTTTAATTCTCCTCTTATTTGCTCTATTACACTTTCCTCTTGTAAATTTAAGAATTGGTGTCCATTATGATCAATCACATAGCAATTAGAACAGACGGCCACTGAACAATCTTTACAGTAAAATGTTACACTCGATTGTTGATGATTTAAACAGACATCACGTGGACAGGATTCAGTCACAGAGTTATTTGCCCCTGATTCAGTGCTGTAAATCATCAGTGTCTCGTATCCAACAACAATATGATGTTTACAGACTTTTAATTTATCATGCATCGTTTTAAAAGAGTCACAGAAATATTGTTGACAATCTTTACAACTAAATTTAGATACACTATTAATACAGACATCACATTGTGGAATGTTAATGTTTAATTTCGGTTTCAATTCCTCTATTCCACCGTCTGGTAGTGAAGTTTCGGCATGACACAATGGACACATGAAGTGGTCATTAGTGGAAGTTTTGTTAATGTAATCTTCTAAGCAGATAAAACAGAACGAATGTTGACAGTCAATTATTACTGGTTGTTGAAAGTCTTTTAAACAAATACTACACACTTCCTGTTCAGTCATGTTGAATAATATGACAAGTCACACATAAATCTTTTAAATGTAACAAAAGCTAACTATTTGGAGTGTCCAATATGGCAAAGATTCTGTTCTATTCACTAGGTTGATAACACTGGAGCCTCCCAGTAGACTAATTTTCCGCTTTGATAATGGCGACGATTCTTATCTAACAACCTTTGAACAAATCAAGATATACTGTGACACTGATATCGGCTATACCTTTGTATGCTTGATAATGATAACGACAAGTGAAATGAGGTGAAAAAATCATGCGGTTGGAATAGTCCTTGGGGGTGCCAATCGGTCGAAATCTTTATTTAAGGTAGTCCTCAGGGTTTCAAATGGGTGTAATCGTTATATTTATTACTTAGAAGCCACGGTTGTTCAGTGAGTAAGACAATGTACGGTGTAACTACTTTTAAAGCCCAAAGCTGTTCATCTAGTCTCTTATGGTCAGCGCTCTTTTAGTTTTCAAGCACCTGTTTTATGGAATAATCTACCATTTAGTTTAAGATGTTGTATATCTCTATACATGTATTCTTTTTAAAAAGTCATCCGGTTGGAATAGTCCTTTGAGGTGGCAATCGATCGAATCTTTATTTAAGGTATTCCCCGGGGTTAGAACTGGGTGTAATCGATATATTTATTACTCAGAAGCCACGGTTGTTCAATGAGTAAGACGATAGCTCACTAATCTGGGGGTCCTGTGCAGACTGAGAATGTTCATCGGGATTTTCTGGCGTGGTCCCCCACCCCCGTCAGTGGGGCATGCCTGGCAAGGAACAGCGTTTAGTTGTATGGGGTATGCCGTCGTCATTAGTCCAGTTGGGACTGAACAGTGGGACGTTAAACCCTATTCTATTCCCTGCACTGATTACTCTGAACCGTGTCAAGCGGACGGATAGATTTACTTCAAGAATAATCAGATGGGCGACAACATGTCGCAGTGGTTTGGAGGGGGGGGGCACGGTGGCTAAGTGGGTAAGGCGCTGGCTCGCTAGCCTGGAGATCGGGTCGGGTGTTCGATCCCTGCATTGGCCGAGAAAGTTCATCCAGATTTTCCGGCGTGGTTCCCCCTTGTCAGTGATGTAGGATGGAGGGCCTGACGAGGACAGCTGTCTTTTGGATAGTATGAAAACCGAGGTCCCGTGTACACATTGGTATGCACGTAAAAGATCCCTTGAAAGTTGGAATGTGATATAAGAGCAGGCCGTAGTGCCGCTGTCAGGGCAAAATTTCCCTCGAAGCACACTGTATGGCGTATGCCCGTCTTCACTAGCCCAGTTAGGAGCAGAATAGTAGGACGTTAAGCTCCATTTCATTTCATTTCGCAGTGGTGAAAATAGGGTGTAATCTCTTCTAAGAATAGTTCTGGGGGTATCAAGCTCGAATAATCTCTTTCTCAATAATGAATAAGCTTTATAATCGGGTTTTTTTCGACAGATGAAGTAGATAATTTGGATTAATATCAGTCTGGGAGAGGTGAAATAGATAATTTGGTTTAATAGTTCAGTTTCCATTTGTATATTGTAACTTGACTATTCCTCTGTATTCTTTTGTTAATTTGTATATACATGTGTGTTTTTATAATCATATTTACATTGTAAAAGCGCAACAGAGCAGTCAGACTGACTGAATGTTCACCGCTATAGAAAACGATTATTATTATTATTTCGGAGAGGTGAAAGAGATAATTGCGCCATTTTTTGTATGAAAGATAACGGACAGGGGTTATGCTTTCTTTATTATTTCCAATTAACAAAACAATGCTATCCACTAAATAAAAGAACAAAATGGGACTATTTTCACGTATTTCACTTGAGTTCATATTGCGTATCCGTCTTTGTATGTTAATGCGTCCAATGGTATTATTTTCGTTTATAATTCGTGTATTCTCTGACTATGTCTGAAGTTAAATCAACTGGACAATTCCTTCCGGCAGCAAAAACTTCTGTCACAAGTCTGAAAATATATTTTTAAAATAGACGATAGATTCACAGGTCTTTCAATACGCCTATCGGCAGTCAGGTCATGTGTGTGTGCTGTAAAATCAACAATTACGGCTGAGCAAAATATTTCATTATAAGATATGTCCTGTATCACGTTCATCAGATTTGTGGAGAGCCAAATGTTTAATGCGTATGGTACTGTCTCCGACAGCATCTGTGTGCCCGTAGTAAAGTATGCCATTAAACCACGTTCTTTTCAACTCACGGACGTCGCAGTGACCTGGTAAGTAAGGCAATGGTTCCAGCAGGAGTTGGGCGATTGTGTGCTCGTAGTGAAGTATGACATTGAACCACGTTTTCGTTATTTTATTGACCCCGAAGAAGCTCAGGAGTACAGGGGCTCACGGGTTCGATCACTGTTGGTCGAGACAGTTCGCCAGAATTTTCTAGGGTGGTTGCGCCTTATCAGTGGTATAGAATGGAGGGCCTGGTATGAAACAATCTCTTAACGTTTGTATGTCGGTGGTATAGAATGGATGGCCTGGTACGAAACAACCTTTATATGTGTATCTGTGGTGTAGGATGGGGGGGGGGGGCCTGGTACGAAACAACGTAGGATGGAGGGACTGGTACGAAACAACATCTAAACGGTTGTATGCCAGTTCTGATTAGCGTTGTTGGGACAGGAAAGTAAAGTAGGACATTAAACCGCATGTTCTTTAATTGGTTGGCGTATAAGAGTCAATGAATACGTTAGCTCGACATTTTGAGAAATTGTTGTATTATGTTGGAGATGTTTTTGTGTCGTGATTTTTTTTTAAAATCTACAACATATTTACCTGTAATTTACAAAATCAGAGGGGTCAAGAGACGATGCCACGGCTACTAGGTTTGGTATAACGATGTGACAGAATCCACTTGGTACAAAACATAGCCCCTATAATATAAATATTAGTCTGAATGGTCTGATTCTATCCTTAACCCCTGTTTGTAACATATCAGCTGCCATCCATAGGCTAATATGTGATAGCAAATGTCATAGAATTCTAATATGAAAGATATTTCTACTTCGTAATTAACAAGTCATAGAATTCTAATGTGATCGATATTTCTACTTTGTAGTTAATTTCTTTCTAAACTAGGTCTGTCAGCGACCCATATCATAAACATGATGTCATATACATACATTCCATTGATGGTTGTCGAACTATAAAATGGAAATGTATACCCAACATGACGTCAAAGATCTAGTTTTACACATTTTAAAATTTTATTGAATTTCTTGCTTATTAGGGATCACGTGGTTTCCCCTTGTCAGTGATGCAGGACGGAGGGCCTGACAAGGACAGCTGTCTAGTCGTTCGGATGGGACGAAAAACCGAGGTTCCGTGTACAAATTGGCGTGCACGTAAAAGATCCATTGGCAGTTGGAATTCGATATATGAGTAGGCCATAGCGCCGCTGCCCGGGCAAAATTTCCCTCATTGCACATACTGTATGGCGCATGCCCGTCTTCATTAGCCCAGTTTAGGAGCAAAACAGTAGGACGTTAAACCCCATTTCATTTCATTTCATTTAAATTCTTGCTTATTGACCAATCAAGGAAATACGGTTCTCGCTAGTCCCTGAGTATACATCCTCGGTTTCCCCAGTGGTATCATTCTATTCTACTCCACTAACCCCAGGGTCCATTCAAGGGTAAGACACGTAGTCAAATTGTCAGCCGTTGATAATTGTGCAATTTTTATCGACCAATCACAAAATTCCATAAATACAAAGCGAGGGGGCAAAGAGAAGTAACTCACGTTTTGTTGCAACTTAGATCTCCGAATAATTGTAGTAAACTTTGGTGGTTTAGCGAGGTGCTTATGGGCGTGTCAAGTGAATCAATGGCTAAATGATAAATTATGTAACATTTGAAGTCAATAGAAAAATATACAAAAGGCTTGAATTCGCTTTTACATAATGTATCGTTTAGAATACTCACCATATTTCGAAAACTGTTTGCATAGTGTTGATTACAATCCAGAAAGCTACTGTTATAGGCCGATAGTGATCGTTCTATCTGGCAAATCGCCATTTTCCTTATAAATTCTTGACCCTGTGAAGAGAGGAAAAGACCAAAACACCAATGATTGCGACGCGGAATAATTAGAAATAATTAATTTGAATGGTGAAATTGGCCGAATACACAAAATATGTAAATATAAGATTAAAGCTGTTTGTCATTTTAGTCCACACTTCCACCCAATTGACTGGGATTTTCGCCTCAACTGAACGAGCCAAACTTTAGTGTGGAAAATGGAAACTGCCTTGAAATGTCCAAAAAGTTCTTCTCAGGCGGAGTGGGAGGGGGGGGGGTCATAAGGTCTGTCATTTAATAAAGTGGCGTGGTTTCGAACTATTGGATTAAAATTGAACCATATATTAGTATGTTAGTTCCGAAATGACCTAGTTTGTGTCGAGCGAAAATTATTCATTCTGTAGCCTCGCAGAATTTCCTCACCCAAAATTTAAATTTAGCCAACGAAACTATTTTTCGTAATTACTCTAACAAATGACTAACCTGTGAGGTAAATAGATGACTATTCGCTTTTAATTTGTTGCAGTATTTTTTGCCGTAACTCAGTGCGTATCCGTCCTCTCCACAAGGCAATCTTTTCTCAAAACATTCGAAGAAACTACAATCGCCATCTTTTACTTTGGATAAGCAGTCTTCTGATATATCTATACCATATAATATAACAATAAAGTAACAATTTTACACGGTCTTAAACCAACCGTTTAGGACAGTTGTCTAGTCGTTCGGATGGGACGACAAACCGAGGTCCGGTGTACACATTGGCGTGCACGTAAAAGATCCCTTGGCAGTTGGAATTCACTATATGAGTAGGTCGTAGCGTAGCTGCCCGAGTAAAATCTCCCTCATAGCACACTGTATGGTGTATACCCGTCTTCATTAGCCCAGTTAGGAGCAGAACAGTAGGACGTTAAACCCCATTTTATTTCATTTCATTTCTTGTACATTGATTAGGGTAATATCAGCCATCTTGGATTTTACTAATTTTTACCACTTTCCGGTGCGCAAAATTTGGAATGTTATAAAGTACACCTAAATAAACGCAAAAATGCATGAAAACGTTTCCTTGTAATTTTGAGTGTAAACTCGTAAACTGATTTGTCTGTTGATACTAATCAGAAGAACTCGAGGTTGATAAGGACCACACCCGTGTAGGACCACACACCATGTATCGTCAACTGGGACAGTAGAGGCAATATCCGGAACACATTTGGACAGGTGGGTACTTGTATTTTCTCCCGTTCACATCAATGTTTGGATTTAAAATGTAGGTCTTGCGCCAGGCAGGGTAAGCTTACTCTTCGGGACACCGGTTGCCACTGTTTGTCGTGTATTTTGTACACGGTGAACAGTCCATTTGCTGATTACACTATTTTTGTCCTTTTAGGACTTCGAATTTTGTCTAATGGTTTGGATTGTTCGTACCTGGTTTTATTTAATTTGTATTTCAACCATAGCTGTAAGGCAGGGGTGGTCAAACTTTTACATACCATGCGCCAGTTTATTCACACACGAACCCAGACTCTAGTCTCACCATTGTGAGGGGTGTTGGATAGCTGAATGGTTAGCGTGCGCGCGCTGTATCATAAAGTCTGTCATTGAGTCGACTGGCGTGGTTTCGAATCCCCGGTTGTACGTGACAAGGAGTAGGGTCGTCTGTCCAACCCCGTGGGTTTTCTAAGGGTCCTCCGGTTCCCCCCCACAGCTAAAGACCCCTATATGCGCAAGCGAATTATTGAAATAAAATTAAACCATATGTTAGTCCCGAAATGACCTAGTTTGTGTCGAGTGGACGTTAAACCCCATTTCTCTCTCTCTCTCCCCCTCTCTCTCTCCCCATTGTGAGATATGATTATCATGTAAAATTATCAAATATATAAACAATATCTGATAAACATACTTATCATTAACGGGACTTTGGATATGTTTTGAATAATGAAATAGCTAAAAATAATGAGTAGGCTTATTGTCTTTTTCACAGGTACACCTGGTTTAGTGCATGCATGCGCCACATGTTGTTTTTCACAGGTACACCTGGTTTCTAATCATGCAATGCTCCATGTTTAGTGCATGCATGCGCCACATGTTGGTCAAAGGGATTGGATGGTTGTTTGGTTAGCGCGTTCACGTTGTATCATAAGGTCGGTCATTGAATCAACTGACGTGGTTTCGATTCCCCGTTTGTACGTAACAAGGAGGAGGGTCGCCTGTCCAACCTCGTGGGTTTTCTCCGGGTCCTGCGGTTTCCTCCTTATCAATGCACGGAGACACATTTTGACATTTTTAATTAAAAATTCGACAGAACTGTAATAACTTTGTAAAAATGAGCGACAAAACGGGATGTTTTCTGTGCAGCAGAAAATTCTAGTTACTGTTTTCCGGATTGCCTCTGCTGTGACAGTTGCCGAAAATGGGTGGAAATATGGGATCTAAACATGAAATATTTCAGCCATAATGAGTATTTTAAAATTAGTACACAACGTCGTGTACTTAAACGACATAATTTAACGAGTGTAATTTGTAATATATCGGGGGTAGGGGGGAATGGCCGAATGTTAAAACCAGCGTGCTGTATCATAAGGCCTTTCATTTAGTCAACTAGCGTGGTTTAATTTTATTTCAATAATTCGCTTGCGCGTAGCGGTCTTTAGCAATGGGAGGAAACCGGAGGACCCGGAGAAAACCCACGAGGTTGGACAGGCGACCCTATTCCTTGTCACGTACAACCGGGGATTAGAAACCACGCCAGTTGACTAAATGACAGGACTTATGATACAGTGCGCACGTGCTAACCATTCGACCACCCCCCCCACCCTTTATGGGACGAGAATATCCGCGTTGAAACGTTGCACAGTAGCAAACTCAGTAATTGTGTATCCATAAAATTGTACCTTGTGTTAATTAGTGAATGCCTATCAAAGAAGACAAAATAATAATTTAAATAAAAACCTTGTATTTCACTTTACATAATTGATTATGCTAGGTTTCCACCACACGATTCGTGCCACGATTGAAATCGTGGTTTTAATCGCGGATTAATCGTGGTGATCCTATCAAGTCTTATCATATATTGAGGTCAGTCGTAGCAAAATGAAATGAAATGGGGTTCAACGTCCTACTGTTCTGCTCCTATACTGGGCTAATGAAGACGACCATACGCCATACAGTGTGCTATGAGGGAAATTTTGCCCGGGTAGCGGCACTATCGCCTACTCTTATATCGAATTCCAACTGCCAAGGGATCTTTTACGTGCATTCTAATGTAAACACGGGACCTCGGTTTTCAACTCATCCGAAGGACTAGACAGCTGTTCTTGTCAGGCCCTCCGTTCTGCGCCACTGACAAGGGGAAACCAGGATGAACTTTCTCGACCAATAGCAGGGATCGAACACCCGAGCTCCAGGCTAGCGAGCCAGCGTCTTAACCACCTAGCCACCGTGGCTGCCCGTCAGTTGTAGCATTCGTGTTGATCGTATCGAAACGTCTCCGAACTTATCTTCACGTACCAGATCGTGGGCTCAATAGGGACAATCCTACCGTAACGCATCGTACGACAGTGGGCACCTAGCATTAGAAATCAAAATATAAAAAAAAACAAAATCGCATTAAAATTTGTATTTAGACCCAAATTTTTTTTTTTTTTTTTTAATGTTTTTTTTTTTTAATTTTTTTTTTTTTTTTTAAAAAGTTCCAAAAGACCACTTACCAAACTGAGCATTTACGATTTTATTTGCCGCAAACCAACTGATGAGGGGGTATGACGTCACTAAACACAAAACACTGAGCGAACTTAGCAGCCTGAACATAAACATCGTAGTTCATTAACTTCAAAGGTACACAGCAAATGATACCCGTTGAAGGTTGGACTTGTTTTGTTTTCAAATGAACTCGATGTGGTTGAGGATGTGGTGATAATAAAGTTTACCCTAGCTCAAACTGTTAACTGTATTTTAACCGATAGCCTTCACACATGATTATTATGCAATCATAATTAGCGTTTATCTTGTAACTCTTAAAGGGACTTAATTTCAAATCTTAAAGCCACATTTCGCCATTTGAGGGATTTTGAAATCCTTGCACATTACATTACATACTAAACTTAAGCTGTCTGTCTACAACTAGTTCCGCTTGAGAACAGACACTAAGCTAGTTGACCGACATTTTAATTTCCAAATCGACGATTCTAATCGAGAACACTTAAAGGCTCAATACCACTCTTGTTGTAACTGAATAATATGTCCCAATCTTTATTCTGGTCAACAAATTGTACTATTTTAGAATATTTCAATTAATTGATGATACAAATTTCATCTTAACACACCTTATTTAAAAATTTTGAAAAATTCAACAATGGTTTGAAACGTCTAACGTAAACCTTTTCAAATGAAACTTCGATTTAAAAATATTTTCGAACCCTCTGGACAAGTAAAATAGGATGTAATGGATAATTTACACAGCAGGTAGAACACTTAAACATCTAGTACTTAGATAGAGATATTATTTATTTTCTGGAGCTTTCAAGCCAGCAAGAGTGTTATTGTCCCTTTAAGTATACTTCGCGACTGGTAAGAAGTATTTACATGTATTTCGCTTCAATTAATGAAATAGAAAAGGTTTATTTAATATTTATGTGTATGAATTACAAAATTAAAAAACAGTAAACTAATCTTTAGATATGGTGGCCATTCAGGACAGAGATCCATTCTCGAAGTAGAATGACTAGAGTGTTGAGACAGTTGAATCTCTAAGATCAACATTCGGCGTCCCCTATTGAAGCCAGTGTCATCAATAAGACATATAACTTTCCCAGAGAAATTGGGTTTAACGTCCATACGATAAACTAGGTTATTTTGGGATTAACGTATGGTTTCATTTTTTTTTTTTTTTCATTAATTCGCTTGCGCGTCGGGGGGGGGGGGGTTAGCAATTGGAGGAAACTGGAGGATCCAGAGAAAACCTCCGAGGTAAGACACAGGTGAGCCTAATGCTTGTCACCTTTAAGTTTGATGTCCTGTACATGATAAGATAATACTGTATTATTAATGATTCGACTTTAAACTGATAGAAGTAGTACATACATCAAATCACATCCTGAGGACAGGCTAAACTATGTTATTACGTGTTTCCCGCGTTTTGTCGAGCGGCAGGGAATATCGACCAGAATTGGAGCAGGAAAACCAGTTCTGCACACTTATCAGCAGTGAATATTCACTAGGCCGCGACAATCACTGATAAGGATGACATCGATGCGACTTAATGATCCACAAATATTAACTTTTTTCTTCCGTCAAATTAAATTCTAAAACATTTTAGAAAAATAAATAAAGACATTTGAAGTGTTTGTAGGTAAAAATTATTTCCTATTTTAGTGTAAATGGGTATTAAAATGAGTAAAAGGCTCCATTCCGCCCGAACCAGTAAGGTCTCGGTTCAGAATGGATCAATATGACTGAAATTTTCAGCAAATTGCCTTTACATTATCTAGTTTTTAACTAATTTAGTGAGAACTGCCAACTCCTTATCTAATCTCCCATAATGTATCTTTAATATTGAAATCCTTTAATTTTATATTCATAAAATACCGTTTTTAAATTAGATATTATAAATTTGTAACAATGTATAAGTATGACTCTAAGCTATAATACGTCATAAGATTTCTTTTTGTTAGTAAAAAGCCGAAACGCCTTTCCGGTTATTTTCTAATGAACAATTTTGATAATTACATCACGATTGATATTTCAAAGTAAAGATTAGCGATGATTAAGTGGAAAATTAATAGCATGAATAAGCAGTTAATTATAATTAATATTCTAGACAATATCCATATCTGAACCCAGTAATATGTGTTGTGTTAAAGGACAATATTGGTGCCATTCATTATCACATATGTGCTAGAGCTGGTTAAACACATTCCAAATATAATTTTAACACAGAGATCATTGCTACGATAGCTGAGTAATACAGGCTTCCTGAATCGGAAGTGACGAACGCCAAAGGAAAACACGAGTCATACCTCTATATAACTGACTGACGTGACGAGTGATAACAGATAACACAGATACACGGCCGAATTTCTGCTCACTAATAATTCCTTCGAAGACAAAAGTTGTTGTGTGAGACTGTGAGAGGACATCTGACAATTCATAAAAAGAATTGACTGCCACTAGATAAGAGAACACGAAAGAAAAACAGAAAAAGTCCGTGCATTACCATGTTTTTATAAGGTATAGATAGACTGAATATAAACAAGGGAATGTACGGACTATTTCTATTTTTCTCGTGTTCTCTTATCTAATGACATTCAATTACTTTACTGAATTGTCAGGTATCCTCTTCCAGTCCCATATAGCAACTTTTGGTCTTGGAAGGAATTATTAGTGAGCAGAAATTCGGCCATGTATCTGTTATCACATATCACATCAGTCAGTTATATAGAGGGATTACTCGTGTTTCCTTTGGCGTTCGTCACTTCCGATTCAGGAAACCTGTATTACTCAGCTATCGTAGCAATGATCTCTGTGTTAAAATTATATTTGGAATGTGTTTAACCAGCTCTATCACATATGTGATAACGCCTGACACCAATATTGTCCTTTAACGTTATGGTCTTAATTTACACTGTGATATAGTCGTCATAGTAGCATGCATTGGACATGCAGTTGAATGCTGGCCTTCTTCTTTTGTATTAGGCCGCCATATATACCACATGGCCGTTTACATACTTAAGTGACGGTCTAAGCATTAAAATAACCATATATTTTTATCTAATTTTTTGTTGTGCCAGTGTATATATATCCGATATTATGAATATATATATATTTGTGTTCTTTAAAACAAATTTGTATTTTTGATCTTTGGCTGTTATTGGTGGCGTCTGTTACCATAGGACAACTTTGCACTGAAAATTCTACACACGCTTCGAACGACGCAATTTTGATAACTTCTTTTTAAAAGCGACAAGTTTTCCTAATAAGTAAACCGGTGCCGCATCGCAATTGTGTAGGTGTAGGTACATATCACTTACCGTCATACAGCCGGGGCTAGATGTAGAGTGACGGAATCTGCCGAGGTTTGCCGAGTGTGGACTACCCCTCAGCGTTTGCGTCATTGATTTCATTATAAAAGTTCATTGTTATCCATATCGATGTGTGTGTGTGGAGGGGGGGGGGGGCTAGTGGCCTAGAGTGTCGCGCTTCGACCTCTAGCTGGCCGGTCATCTCTGGCTGGCGGTTGTGGTTTCGATCCCTGGTGTGAGCGTATGTAGCTTGGGGATAAGGGCGCCTTCTCAACCTCGTGGGTTTATTCTGGGTCCTCCGGTTTCTTCCCACAGGGAAGACCTCTGCGCGTGCGCTAAGATAATGAAATAAAAAAGACAACTTGTCTGCGATATCACCTTCAGTGGAAGCTGACGTTACACACTAAGAACAACAACATATCGATGTTTATATTATAGTATTTTTTCCCATAAAAATAGTAGTTGCAAAATAAAAAAATAAAAAAAAAACACCTAAAACTATCACACTCTTTTTCTATCACAATTTATTTATTACATACAAGTTATTACAACATAGGAAAAATCACAGTTTTCTACAAGCGTAGAGTACTATAATATCACAATTAAAGATACATTATGGGAGATTCGATAACGAGTTGGCAGTTCTCACTAAAAACTAGATAATGTAAAGGCAATTTATTGAAAATTTCATTCAAATTGATCCACTGTGAACCGAGAACAAAGCGTTTGAAATTTCGACCTAGCCTCGATCATCATTACTAAAGTCAGTACGATAAACAGCATAGTCTCAATTATCCATTTAATCGTTAAATCGTGAAGGAATGTTATACAGTAAATCGGCTCATAATCCAGTAAATATCACAGGCTAGCGATGCCATCTAGAGTTGATTATGGCCTGGATAGGTTAATTAATGTATAATTAATAATTCAGATAGCATTTTATAAAAACAACAATACATGTATTTGCAGATAAACCAAAGCTGTTTCACTAGAGTTGGGTGCGTATTTTTAATAAGTTCTAACAGTATAAAATTAACTTATTTTTAAGATGTTACATGAATTAATAAAGAAATTAAGTTTGCCACGTGAAACTTAAGGCACTCTATCGTAGCTAAAAACAAGCACATCAGTATATCTCAACGTTTTTAGCTACGTCCTCGTAGCTAACTCTTCTGCAAGTGTATACTACTAAATTATTACAATTCATTATAACATACAAAAAGCGCAGTTTTCTGCAAGCATATACTACTAAAATATCATAATTTTAATATTACACACAAAAAAGCACAGTTCCTTTTTTATATACATTATATAAATTAACGACAGACTTGACCTATTCAAAATGCCTACGCATGTTAAATGAAATAAAAAATTAATGTAATACAATTTTGAATGTACAGAAAGGTTTATCATTTTTTAAAGGGAATAACATTCTGGTGACTCGAAGTTCTATGTTCGAAGCTACATTATAATAATACTTCCGGTTTTCGAAGTTACAATATTTCAGGTTTAGAGAAAACTAAGTATTCCGACACTCTGTGTAATCCGACATATTGTAACGATCCCGTACGATGTCGGATGTGAAAGAGTGCACTGTAATACTACTAGTTCGACAGGTGACAATGTTGGGTCTCTCAAAACGTCGCCAAGTAATAAGCAATAAAAGATGACAATGTATGGACTACCATCCCTGCTGATTAAACAGACGGACTACTTCGTTAAGAATATACAGATTGATCACAATTCTATGGAATGCAATCATAGGCGTACGAGCTGGGGGGGGGGGGCTGAGGGGCGGCCGCCCCCCCCCCCCCAACCCCCATTTTGGGCACCAAATGCTGGGAAAAATTGAGCACACAATTGTACTTTGTAAAAGTTGT